CGCCGCCGCTCTTGGGATCGCGCTGCCGTGTTCCTCTTGGAGCAAGGCCAGACATGGGACGCCGGGGTCGTCTTGGTGCACCATCCGCTCAGAGGAGCACGCTAGGGGGCTGCCGAACCACGCAGCCAGGCCTAAGGCGGCCGTCGGCCTCGGGAACAAGCAGCTTCGTTTCGCCCTGGGTTTGATCTGGCGGGCCCGCGCCTTGGGAGTTCCCGTCTACCTCGAGAACCCAGGAGGCTCCTGGGTCTGGAGCACGCCCGCCATGAAGGCCCTGCTGGGGGCCAACGATGCCGAGTCGTTCGACGTCGACACGTGTGCGTTCGGGGCCCGCTGGAGGAAGTTCACGCGCGTAGCGTGCTGGGCCTCTCGCCACCCAGACGCGCCCCTGAGGCCGCGATGCAGTTGTAGAAAGGGTTTCTGGTCTTTTCCGGATAAACCGCACATCGTCCTCTCGGGCCTTGACCCTGTCTCGGGTATCCTTTGGACCCGCCTCGCCGAACCTTATCCTGCTAAGTGTTGCAACTTCTTTTCGGATTTGATAGCTAGGCAAACAGGTGTTCAAGGTTTCAAGCGTTTGGTTTCCCTTGCCTGCCTTGTCTCTGACAAGTACTCTAGCAAATATTCGGTGTTTCCCTTTTTTAGTTGATGTAATATCGGCGCCGTCTTGCCGTCGCCACTTCTCCTCTCGGGCTCGGGTCTCCTCCTCCTCTTCCTCTTCCGTGTGTCTCATTCGCCTGCTGCTGCGCCTTCGGTGGAATCGCCAGGGACGCCCGCCAGGCAGAAATGTTTGGGGTGGCCTGGGGTGTAGCAGGAGATAGCCGTGTTTGCACATATCGTCTCTGGTGGAACCGAAGGCCGTCGTGGTCACGCATCTTTGCGCGACCGCGTCGGCTCAAGTCTTTTGCTGGCCCGCCATCCTCTCCTTCTTCTCTTTCTCCTCCTCGGTGTTGTGTGGGTGCGTTGGGTCCCTTCCTCCTCTCTCTCTCTTCCGTGTGTCTCGTTCGCCTGCTGCTGCGCCTTCGGTGGAATCGTCGGGGACGCCCGCCACACAGAAATGTTTGGGGTGGCCTGGGGTGTAGCAGGATATGGTGATGATGGTGATGATGATGATGATGATGGTGATGGTGATGATGATGATGATGATGATGATGATGATGATGATGATGATGATGATGATGACGATGATGATGATGATGATGATGATGATGATGATGATGATGATGATGATGATGATGATGATGGCGATGGCCATGGCGATCACATTAGCTGAAGGTGGCTGGGAGCTGTGCCCATGGCCCACTGATAGTGCCGCCAGGACTCGATGTTGTGCTGTAAAGTCTTGGGCCAACATGCCACCAGGTCAATTTACGCACGCATTGGCGCTGCCTGCTCACAGATCTGGGCCAACACGCCCCCAGTGCGCGGGCTTACCGCCCAAAGATCGCGAACGGAGCGCAAGGGCCAGAGACTGCTGCTGCTGAGGTCACGCTCGGTGGGTCCTAGTTAGACGCGGTGGGCGCGCAGACACTCCTCGCCGTCCTGAAGCCTTGGGCTGATGGCGGCCACCCACTTCACACGTCTCTCGTCCACCACCACTCGCTCGAGCCTGTCACCGTCGAGCGGGTGGAGCAAGGACCCGACGAGCGCATGCGGGTCCAGCATGTGGGTTGATGAGGTCATCCACGATTCTCTGTGTTTGTTGGCGTCAACAGGGTGCCCATGCTTGCACCCCTAACTTCTGAACGACCACTGCCGTCCGATGGCCAGCCACAGCCGACCTGGTCGCCATCCTCGCCCCACCAACGCACAGCTGGCGAGAATCAGTGCAGGTAACTGGTCGGCTTTTGCGCTTATGGGGTGCCCTCAACATCCGCACACTGCATCAGAACTCCGTGCGCGTGCCCAATTCGGCGTACTCCTCGCATTTTCCGTGTCCCAACATCGGGAGTTCCATTTGTTGGTCCAGTGGGCGCGCGCGTATGCCGCACCCCACCGGTGTCGGCAAACCTCTTACACGCTTCGTTCCCCTCGTTATAGGGCTCCATCTACAGATCCAGTGGGCGCGCGTGTATGCCGCGGCGAGCGCCCCTCACACGCTTCGTGCCCCACCCCCCCACAGGGGGCTTCACATACTATCTCAGTGGGCGCGCGTGTACGGCGTGGAGTGCCCATCTCGGCACACCTTCACACGTTTCGTGTCCATTGAAGGAGCTCAATGTACCGCCTCAGCAGGCGCACGCACATGCAGCCCCGCTCCCATTTCGGCGAATCCCTCACACGCTGAGTGCCCCCAGACGGAGCTCCACCTAGGGCCTCAGTGGGTGGTGATCGCATATAGGTCGCCCGCGCCCCATTCGGCACACCTCTCGCACGTTCTTTGCCCACATAGCGAGCTCCCACATACGGGCCCACTGGGCGCGCGAGTATGCCGCACCCCGCTCGTTGCATCATGCTCCTCAACTGTCTCGTGCCCTCCATCAGAAACTCCACCTGCGGCTCCAGTGGGGATGTGGCCGACGCCGCCCCGCGCCCATGTCGGCGCACCCCTCACACGTTCTGCCCCATTGGGGAGCTTCACGTATTACCCCAACAGGCCCGCGCAAATGCCGCGGCGTGTTTTTTGGGGCGAGTCCTCCTCATTCGTTTCGTGCCCCTCCCCCCCGATATACGGCCCCAGTTGGTGCACGCGTATGCCGCGGAGCGCACATATCGGCAAACCCTCATCACACGCTTCATGCCCCCGTTGGGAGCTTCATCTACGGTCTGGCCTCAGCGGGCGCACGCTCATGCCGTTCCGCACCCATGAGGAGCTCCACATATGGTCTCAATGGGGGTGATCGCATGGCGTCTTGCGCTCGTTTCGGCAAATCGCGCACGCGCTTCATGCCCCCAGATGGATCTCCACTTACGGCCCCAGTGTCTGTTGGTGGGCGCGTATGCCGCCTTTCGGCAATTTGGGCACAACGCTCACACGCCTCGTGCCTCATATGAAGCTCTGCCTATGGCTTCAGTAGGTGGGCGCGCATGCCGCCCCGCGCCCAGTTCGGCGCATCCGTCACTCGCTTGGTACCGCCATAGAGGCTCCACATACGGCCTCTGTGGGGGAGGCGGGCCGCATGCCGCCCCACGCCCATTTCGGCGCACCCCTCACGCGCTTCGTCTCATCGTCGGGAGTTCCACCTAGAGCCGCAGCGTGGGTGATCGCATGCCGCCCAGCGCCCACTTCGGTACACCCGTCAGACGTTTCTTGCGCCACAAGGAGCTTCACACGGGGCTCCCGCGAAGCTTATTTTGACACACCCTTCACACGTGCCGTGCGCACCATAAGGGGCTCCACCTGCGGCTCCGGTGGCGCACCCCTCACACGTTTTGTGAGGGAAGTCCACTTGCGGCCTTAGTGGGTGCGCGCGCGTACCGCCCCGCGCCCATGCTCGCGCACCCTGCAGACGTATCGCCCCCCCCACCCCCCCCCTTCCCCCGCCCCCTCCTCCAAGAGGGAGCTCCACATACGGCGCCAGTGGGTGGGCGGGCGTATGCTGCGGCGCGCCCATTTCGGCACACCCATCGCACGTCTCGCGGCCCACATAGGGACTCGAGCTGAATACACAGATTGTGGCGCATAGTATATGAGGAGAGGGCCGCGCCCTGCGCCACGCCCAGCTGCAGGGGTTGGGCCGTTCGCAAGGCTTTTGTACGAGGCATCGTGGCCTCGGAGTCGCGGACCTACTCGTTTGTCCCAGCCATCCTGTGGTTGTGGGTCCTCGGCTTGAATCCGCAGCCCCGCGTTCCACTCCCTCCGACTGCCCCCCCCCTCCTCTCTCGCTCTGTCTCCTCTCGTGCCTTTGCTCCCCGCGTGATAGCATTGCCATCGTCGTCATCATTAGATGCAGCAGCATGACCACATATCGTCATCATCACCATCTGCATCACCATCATTAAGAGCATCATCGTCAACATCCTCCCCGCCATCGAACACCCCAGCGGCAGGGCCCACATGGCTCGAGCTGCATGCATTATGTGGTGCGCTGGCTATGAGGAGATGACCATATCCCGCGCCACTCGCTCGTACTTTGCTCGCCCCTCTCCTTCGCATCACCCGCCTTGGGGTAGTCGCAGCTGCGTATGGTTCGGTCCTTCGTCAGGATAGTTTTGCGAGAGCGCGGGGCCCTAGTGATTGTACGTGCCTTTGGGCACCCACAAACTCCGATGACGTGATCCCAGGGTGTTATGGTAGCCTGGTTTCGGGCCGAGGGGGTCACGAGCGATTTCAGAAAGTTAGAGCCTCACCCCTTTGAGAAGCCGATCATATCTGTGTTCTGAGGACTGGAGACTATTACATGTCGGTTGCCAAGTTGCTGAATTATTGAGGGTAGTGTATCGTTGCGAGCTTAACCATTGCATTGATAATAACTAGTTGCTCATTTGCTGAAGTCTGACCCTCGCATTCTGACGGTCCCCACAAGGGGGGGGGGGTGGTGCATTCACGGTAGCGTTTGTGTATATAGTGCGGGTTCATTTCGATTGCCATGCGGTTTTATGTGTCTTGCATATACTTAAAGTGCCAACGGCGAAAGTACATGTTCAAATGTGATGTGTATCGTTGTTAAGCTGTCGCCGACATTAATGGACAAAACATTGGGGATTGTTCAGGATCATGGCCACATGACTTCTGACCTAAAGCGAGTCGATCCCTCCCCCTCGCGTCTATGGCATGCTAGTGCCCCGCAGCCGCAGCATTCAGACGCCCTCCGAGAGCTCGAATTGGCCCAGGTAGTCCTCCCAACGATCAGCCAAATGGAATGCTCTAGGCAAGCCTGGGTAGCGAACCCGAGGAGGAGGAGGCCTCCCTGAAATCGCAACAGGGCCATCCTGGACAGCAGGCGAGCTCTCCAATCTTCAGCCAGCAGAGAACCTCCAGAATAAGCTTATCGTGGTAACGAGGCTGCGCGGGCACCCGTCGGGCGGTCGTTCAAGCGCGCGGCTTCTTGCGCGCGCGCGAGGTGGAGGCCACCCGCGAGCAGGCGCAGTTGCGGTTGTGGGGCCAGGCCGATCCCCGACCGACCGTGGGAGGAGGTCGGCCGGATGACCTCCTTCCCTGGATCATTCCAGGCCATGAAGGGGACAGGAGAATATTCGGTCAGGGGAGTGGGCAGCCAAGGCAAAGGGGCCAGAGGTTCGGCTTCCCTCTCCCACCCACCCCCCGCCTGCCCCTTTGGAGACCCCCTCCCTCCCTCGCTGTTTGTTTTTCTCTGTCTGACTCTCTCTCTCTCGCTCTCTCTCTCTCTCTCTCTTTCTCGCTCTCTCTCTCTCTGTCCCTCTAATTACCTCCCTCTCTCGCTCACTCTCTCTCCCTCACGATATTTATCTATTATATAAGAACGTGTGTCTATATATATATATATATAGATATATACATATATGTACAGATGTCTGTACATCGTATGCCTCTCTCTGTTTTGTTATCGCTCTCCCTCCCTTCTCGACGTGTCTATCTGGAATCCATCCCTCTCGCTCCAGTTCGTCGTCCTTCTCGTTGACCTCCTCTTCCCTTTAGCTCCACCCGGTCCTTCGTTTTACTTATTCCTCACACATGTTGCTCCTGCTCCTGCTCCTGCTTCTCTACACTATGGCCGTTTGGACTCAAGCAGGAGATTTTCTAGACCAGGAATTGGGATTACCAATCCATGATATCAACACGTGCCTGGTTCAAGGTAGTCATTCCTTGATCCTGGACATTCATCTTCTCTCCGCATTGCTTATCCAGGCATGTGGCTATGCGGCTTTCGCCCGCGTCCAACACACGGCTTCACATCTGTGGCGGTGTCCATTCGCTTCGAAGCCACACGCTCAACTATGGCAACTCTCGCGGCGAAGATGTCCCACGTCATTGTCTTGGATACGCAACGTGTGTGCGAATGTTCTCCGCTTTCGATGAATATGATGCGTCTTACCGCTGCTGCAGTTTTGGTGCCTCAGGCGGACTCCAGGCCTCTATCGTCACTGTACTTGTGGAGGTGCGGTTGGGTCTTCTGCTTCAGAGGTGGACGCGCTTGCCTTCGACTACTCCCTGACACTCATATTCAACAGCGCATCGCGAAGCTGGAGCTGGTGCTTGACACCACGGTCACTAAGGCTAGATCCTCGGTGTTGGAGCCGATCAATTGGCGCAGTTTCGCGGCACACAAGGCTGCCTTTGACCGCGCAAGAAACCACCGCATCTGGAAGTTCTGGACGTTTGGAATATGTGTATTTGTTTAGTTGGTTGTTGTTGCGGTTGTTGTTGTCAAGTGTTTTTCTTTTACACACAGTGTTTTGCTTAGAAGGTTGCGACCGTGCCATTTGCAGCGTGCTTCCCGTAGAGATTCCCTTCGATGTGGGTTGTTGTGGCTTTGCAACGCTATGTTTCAGGCGGCGCGTACGCTTGCCAGCTGTGCGTGCCTTGCATGGGCGGGTTGGGTCGCCCCAGCGCAGCGATGCTTCGCGCGGCGTGATTGGGCAGATGTTGCGCGACGATGCGTTCGTTCACGCGAGCAGAATGCCTCTGCGCGACGACGCCTCCAGTAACGTCCAGCATGCCAGTAAGCCTGTTCCTTCTGGGTACGCGGGGCCCTCGCCCCCTTTCTTCGCTTCTTCGTGGCACCCCAACAGTTTGGAATGTCGTGTTGTTGTGTTTCGTCCGGCGTTCGCGCGTGCCAGTGTTCGCGGCGTGGTTCATGTGTTGTTCGCCTATGGCCCGACCTCTTCCCGTTGCCCTCCCCCCTCCACTCGCGTGGTGCTTTGCTGCTTTCTCATTGCGCGGGTCTCAAAGTGGAGGGCCCAGTCGGCCCGGAGGGCGCGACGCTTCGTTGACAAGTCATACGCATCACGGTTGCGCGTAAAAGCTAGGGCACTTGCGTTATGCCGATCTGCTCGCTGCAAGTCCCGCGCACCGCCGCTGCAAAACACTCGGCGTGGAGAGCTTTCGAGCACCGTCAAGAAAGCCGCAACATGCGACACATCGTCGCTCACAGCCTTTTCACAGGCCGCAGCGTTTGACGCGCTCTTCCGCGCCGTGTCGGGGCGTACTCGTCTTCGTCGTCGCCCTCCCCCGCCCCCCTGTTGTCACTCCTCCCCCTCGTCCTCCTCGTCCTCCTCTTTTCTTGCCTCTCTTGGGGCTCTCACGTCTCACTCCTCGGCCGTATTGGGCTTGTCTTGGGGTTCTGTTGGGTTATCTTGGGGGCATGTTGGGACATTCTTGGGCCGTCTTGGGGCTCTCTGGGGCACTTCGGGGCCATCTTGGGCCGTCGTGAGCTCCCTGGGGGTCTCTTGTTGCCGTCTTGGGCCGCGTCCGCCTCCACGACGACCGTCTCGCTTGGTCTGCGGATTATTGGTTGCAGTGCAGCTACAGCGGCGGTGGCAGCAGAGTCGCCGTCAAGTCTCGGCAGAACAGTGGCTTCGCGTGTCCAAGCGGTGTGGCTGTTTGAGGGCCTCCGCGGACACGCTCGGACGTTTGAACTTTGGGCCATTTTGGACGGAGGGGGCGTCGGGTTTCTTAATCAATACCCTGGGGGGCATCGATGGTCCCATTGCACAGGACATCTGTCGATTCGCCAAAGCTAATCAGGAATTCCCAGGTCCACAAGTTTGATCCTCGTTTGGGTGCCTGGCGGTCCCACATTGGAAATGCCTTACGTGGGTCCTCAGCGGTCACAGGTCCCACACGTCCCATATCAATCCCCACAATCCCCACATGTCCCACAGGTCCCACAGGTCCCACAGGTCTTGTAGGTCTCGCCAGTCCCACAGAGCCCACAGGTCCCACAATTCCCCCAGGCCCCACAAGTCCCGCATGTCTCACAAGTCCCGCAGGTGCCACAGGTCCGGCAGGTCCCAGGTCTCACGGTCCTCACGTTCCACATGTGTCTTGCAAGTCCCACAGATCCCGTAGGTCCCACAAGTCCCACGGTCCCACTTGTCCCAAGTCCCGCAGGTCCCACGGGTTTCAGAAGGTCTATAGGTCTATAGGTCACAGAAGGTCCAACAGGCCCTCACGTTCCACAGCTGCCACAGGTCCCGCAAGTCTCGCAGGACACACAGGTCCCACAGCCCCACCAGGTCTTGCACGTCCCAAAAGACCCACAGGCCCAGAGGTCCCACAGGTCCAACGTTTCCCAGGAGCCTCGCACATCCCACACGTCCCACAGACCCCACATGTTTTTCATGTTTATTCTATCCCAGAGGCCCCACAGGCCGTTCAGATCCCACAGGCCCCACAGGCCCCACCGCCGCTGGTCCCACAGGTCCCGCAGGTCCCTCTGGTCCCGCGAATTCTACACGTCCCACAGGTCCCGCAGGTCGCACAGGTCCCACAGGTCCCATAGGTTTCGCAGGTCGCGTAGGTCCCACACGTCCCACAGGTCCCAAGGGTCCCACATGTCCCACAAGACCCAGAGGTCATGCAAGGCCACTCTGCCTCACAAGTCTCACATGTCACACAGGTCACACAGGTTCAACATGTCCCACAGGTCCCGCAGGTCCCGCAGGTATTGCAGGTTCCACATGTTCGACAGGTCACCTTTGCTGCTATCAGAGTGCTTTGCTAGGGCATACGGTGGGGGCGTTCGTTAAGGAATGCGCCCAGCGGACCCTGGAGGACTCTTTGTCTGATGAGGTCGGCAGTGATGTCCGTGGCCAATCCACGATTGGAGTTCCACTGGCTTCCAGACCCTCGATTCCTTATCCAATGGTTCCTTATCCAATGCCCTCACCGACCGTAGCCATTTTGGCTCAAGCCGGAGCGGCTCAAGTGCCTGGCGCTGGGCCCCCGCCGCCGCCTTCCCGCTGGACCCCCGCACGTTGTAAGTCGGCACTTCCTCCTCGGGGCGGATGGCTGGCCCGAGGGGCCCGCCTGGGCGCTGACGCCACCGGCGCAGGGCGCCCGCCCGCTGCCCCACGGCGGCCGCTGGGCGCCTCGCCCGCTCTTGCGGGCCCCGGCGGCTCGATGGAGGCCTTCGTGCTCTTCACTGCGGTGACGGCGCTGGCGGAGGACCGCTGGGCGCGGGCGCGCGGCGCTGGATGGCCCGCCTTCCTGCAGCTCGCCGCCCCCCCGCTCCTGCCCCTCGACCTCTCGCTGCTGGAGATGCTGCTGGCTGGCCTCGACCGCTCGGGTGCGCTGGTGCCCTCCCGCCTGGCTGCTGGGCGCGGCACTGGCCACCCAGGGGCGATGCCCCTTTTTCCCAGGGAGTGGCTTCGGTGGACTGCCCCCTTTGGGGGGCGGCACGGCCTGGTGGGTGTCGCGTGCGGTGACGCCCCAGGTGACGCCGCAGACCTGGATGTGCGCGCGGGTCGGGCCGCGTCGCAGCGGACGCTACGGGAGGGCCGCGGGGGCTGCTGAGCGGTGGACTGCCGAGCGGCGCCGTGGGGCTCGTAGTGGTGCGGTGGCCCAGGTCTGGCTATGCCCAGGTCTGGCCACCGCGGTGCCGAGCTCGTGGGGCGGGCCGTCGCCGTCGTGTCGTCGTCGTCGTGAATGCAGGCATGACCACGTGGGTTCGCCTACTCGAAGAGTTAAAATGCCCTCACCGTCCGCAGCCATTTTGGCTCAAGCTGGGTCCCCCGCGGCGGCGCGCCTCCTCTTTGCGACGGCGGCGGCCTGGGCGGCGGGGCGCAACGGCTGCGGGGGGCGGCCAGCCAGGTGGCAGCCCAAGGCGCTCAGGCATCAGGAGATCTTGGTGCTGGGCCCCTCTGCGGCGAGGCGGGCGGCCAGGCGGCGGTGCTTGGGCGCGCTGGAGGCCTGGTGCCATGTCGTGGCGGGCCCCTGCGTGCCAGGGGCATGGCAGGACCGCGAGCGCGCGGCCAGGCCGGCGTTGGTCAGCGCGGTGGAGGGCCGGCGGGTGGCGGGAGCGTCTCGCCAGCGCCGCAACGCGGCCCTCCACGCAGCCCGCGCCCCTCCGAGAGGTTTCCTCAGGGCGCCCGCCGGGGAGATCGCGGAGGCGGCACGGGGGCCCCGCCTGGCTTCCTGGTCGAGGCGGAGCACGCCGCGCACGTGGCGAGCGGCGACGCGGGCGGC